GGGGGGGGGGGGGTGCCTTAATCGGCGTGCCATACCCTGGAACGGCCGGAGCGCAGGGAACTGTATGAAGAGGAAGCGGGGCAAGTACAGCCCGCAAGTGTAGAAGCTCGCGCCGTAGGGCAAGTGTGCGAGGTTCTTCAGACGGTTGCGGGAATCCTGCATCCAGATGGAAGCAGGTAAATGCCCCAGGGAGGATGCATTCGGGGTCAGAAGGGAGGCAAAGACTTCCGGAGGAGGCGGAAGGGGGGGGGGGAGGTGGAAGGTGGCATGGCAATGCACCAGGCCACAGGGAAGAGGATGAGGAGGCTGGGAAGCCGGCGCAGGGAGGGCAGGGCCCCGTCACGCACATAGGTCTGCGACTGGTGATCCACATGGGAGACAGGCACAAGCAGCCGCGGGGGAAGCTGGGCCGGGTCGCCACCGACGACGCTCGTGAGCGCGGCGAAAAAGAGCCCATGCATGAAAATGGGCCGACCACAGGAGCTCTGGTAGAAGTACAGGGTTTCCCCGTCACTCGAAGAGCCAGCCCCCGCGGCGATGGCGGCGGCACTGGCGGAGGTCACAGCATTGGCAGCACCCTGGCGCCGGGGCTGCCCCGACGCCGGCGGGGCTGGCTCCCCCCCTTCGGGGATCTCCGCCGGATGGCGGTGAGCATGCTCCAGCAGCAGGCCACCCAGGGTAGCCACCGTGGAACGGCTGAATCCGGGCCCGAGATTGGGCGCGGGATATTCCAACGCCTCGGCATCGTGCAATGCCTCCCGCACGTGGGCCATGGCGGCGTTGGTCAGTCGCACGGTGTCCGGCAGGGCGGCCAAGCTGTCATGGCAGCCGAGGATGTCCATCAGCAGGTAGTCCAGGTCCCCGGCTTCGAGTTCCTGCGCTCGAGAACGCGTGCGCATGTGAGAATGATGGGAGAGAGAGAGGGAGAGAGGGAGAGGGAATGATCATTCGAGTGGGGGATCGGAGGACGGTGCGAGGGTGTATGGTACGAAGGGTGCCCCGGGCACGCACAAGCATCTGCTTCAGGGCCAAGTCGGCCAGCTGGGTGTTGATGAACTCGTCCGGGGTGCCGGCAGACTCGGCCAACAGGGCAGACAGATCGTCCAGGTCGCGCGCCAGGCGGGCAAGGCGCATCTCCGGCGAGGTGATCTGCATTTGGGCGAAGAGCCGTGCCTGGCCGAAGCTGCGGATCCGGTAATTTCGATCGGTGGGGGCATCCCGGTGGAGATACGTATTGGCGTAGGGGAGGCGATCTTGCTGGCGCTCGTAGGTAGCAAGGCTAACAGGCAGGGCTTGGCGATTGTCCTGACGGAGGAGACGTGGAGGAGACGTGGAGGAGACGTGGAGGAGACGTGGAGGAGGCGTGGAGGAGACGAGGTGGAGATATGTGGGAGACATGGGGACCAGAGAGGGCACAACCATGCATTGGTGAGTGTGAATACAAAGGCGAATACGTGTGTGTGTGTGTGTGTGTGGGTGTGTGTGTGTGTGTGTGTGTGCGCGCGTGGAGGGGAGAGCGCATGGTGAGGACATGATCGCGCACCCGATGCCGAGTCATCAGAGTAAATTCCACAAGCGGGAAGGCTGGCAAATGGGCCGGGCGCTTGGGCGAGGTCTCCCTGCTCGAGGTGCCGGGCTTTGGGGCAGGTGCATGGGCCATGGTGGCAGACGCATCGGTCTCCGGGGCAGATGAAGGAGAGTCGAGGGCAGGCTCAGGCGACTCGGTACACGGGGCGAGGGGCGCCGCGCCATGTGCCGAAGTATCGACACCACCTGGAGCAGCATCGTCATCGGCAGGCCCGGCCATGGCCTCGGCAGGGGCCTGGCCATCAGGGGTGGCAGCATGTTCGGAGGGGAGACCGGAGGGGGACAAGTCCTCGGTGTGGCCGGAGCTGGCCAGGCCGGATGCCGGCGTGGCGAGGCCCGAAGAGGGGAGCAGCCCGGCCCAGTAGGTTTGGGCGGTGGGCAAGTCCGCCCCATCGGCCAGAGTCCCGGGCACAGCGGGCGGCGGAAAGACATCCGGCGCCTGGCGGACCGGACGGATGTCCCCCAGAGAAAAGACCTGCGAGCAGACGGGGCAAAAGCAGGACACCCGCTTGGCAGCCCAGGCGGCGTCGGCCACCGGCGACCGGAAGTCGTCGCCAGCGAAGTAGCCATTTTGGATGAGGAGCATGCGCAGGAGGCAGGTATAGCAGAAGATATGCCCGCAGGGGGTGATGCGCGCGGCAAAGGGCGTCGACAGGCAGATGACACAGGTTTGCAAGAGCTCCCGGCCATCATGGCGATCCTCGACCAGGTGCTCGGCCAGGGCCGACGGGGCTGCCGGCATGTGCAGCACCAGCTCATCTACCAGGTCCCAGTCCGGCGGGGTGTCGAAGTCCTGGAACCACCCGGCAGCCGGGGCCGTAGACTGGCAGCGCCGGAGGAGAAACCGGTAGCTAGAGCCCGAGACAGAGGGTTGAGGGGGGGGGGAAGGGTGAGGAACAAGGGAGGGAGGGGGGGGGGGGGGAGCCGAAATGGCCAACACAG